AGGAAGAAAAACCACCTAAAATCAATCGGAAATTCTCTTGGTGATCAAGTAGTCGTGGAAATCAACCATTTTGGTGGCACAAAAAGGGTTCTTCCCCGTCTTTGGTGTGGTTTTTCTTTGTAGAAAATTGGGAGAAAAACAAGCATGTTCCACAATGAATGTACTTAGAACCCATAAAACCCCATAAACGCCCCGTAAATGCCCCATAACCCCGATCAAACCAGGTAGTTCATGACCAACAGCCATTCGGCGCGGGGTCATGACCCACGGGCGGCTCCCGCCTTGTGTCTCGATGAGCACAGCGGGGCAGGGTAGCCCACCGTTCATCGGGTTCTTTGTGACCTCGGACCCGAATAGACAGAGCCATACCAGCCAAACAAGGAAAAAAGAGCCAGAATTCATCCCCTGATTGGTGGTTTGGTGGTTTGGTGGTTTCGGGGTGGTTTCCATGTACCCTCAACAAACACCAAAGGTTCAACCAATCCAAACCACCAATTAAGGGCTATCTGAACAAAGAAAGAGGAATCTACATCAGAGGCAAAAAACAACTGAAAGCAAGACCCACACCAAAGAACACAAACCAAAAAAGTCAACTGAACACCAAACCATCCTCAAAACAAGCCGCGGCTAAACTCTGATCTGAGGTTCCCGACTTGGCGATGCCTGATCTGCTGACCACCCCCGCATGTCCTGTCGCACTGGTCCCAGCTGGTCCAGGCGGAGACCTACGGAAAGCGGATGGCCCGGACCGAGAGCTGAGAGCCGGCAGTGGGGGGCGGGGAAGGCTGGAGGACTTATTGCTTCATTTCCCTAAGAATAGCACCAAGAACAAGGCTTTCCTGGAGAAGTGCCTCTTTTTGCTGGTTTTAAGGGACAGGATTTTCTAGGGGTAAAAACCAGTTCCATTCTTTCCAAGGATCCTTCTAGGACTCAATCTAGGGGGATGTTGAGACAAGCCCTTCGGAACTTTGCGAGACAATCTAGGGGTACCTTCCCCATTCTTTCCAGGGATCCGAATCTTTCCAGAAAACCATCAGAACCCCAGGAGAAACAGCGATCGGTTTTTGAAAAGAACATGGTTGAAAAGAATGGGGAATCAACCCCTAGACGTAAACCAAAAAAGGTGCCCTTCTAGGGAAACTATCCACCCTGGGTTTGAGGGTGTGACAAACTAGTTGAGACTCCGAATTACATGGTGGCCAGATCTTGAAAAAGGGTACGGCCAAATGGACTATACAGGTAATCAAGGCACCAGCTACACCAAGGGTCAAAGGCGGCGCCCTTCTCGGGGGCGCACAGAGCCGACACTGGCTCAAAAACTCGTCTGGTCTTGCTGAGGACGATAGCATATTTTTCTTGGCCGGCTCTGTCACGCCCTTGGAACAGCTGGGTGTGTCTTTCCTTGAAACTACACTTGTTGCACTCAACCAAGCTCTTTTTTGGACAAACCAGGCCTCTAAAGGCCCATATTCATGTCCAAATCTTGGGATTTCGGATGAGTTGCAGTTCACTTCGGGTTGATTCAGAGAAATTCGCTTGTCAGGTGTGGATTCCCCAATCGAAGGTAGGGAAAGGATCTATTATCGTGGAGCCTGCCGGATTGGTCCGAACATTAGCTCCCCTGAGTACGATCTGGATGAATCCGTTGACACTACTGTAGAGGGTTCAGCATCTCCAAAAAACGATGGCCATCTTGGCTTCCTGGATTGAATGGCTGGGGCTCAAAAAATTGGAATCGGCCCAAATTTTGCTTCAAACACAGGAATCCAACATGGATTCCAAAACAACATTTACCGGCTCAACCCTTTCCCGAAAGATTCCCAAAATGGATTCCTGGCAAATGGGCCAGTCCAAGACCTGCAGTTTGCAACTTCCCGCCTCGCAGTCCACGCTGTGAGCACAGCTGGACACCTCCCGCAGCCCGCCCACGCAGGGCAAGCCCGTGTTGGCCTCAAACGAAACGAGGCGTGGCGTTTTCGTGCGGCGCGTCTCCTACAAAGAAAAAAGAACAGTGGGCCCAACCAACTGTTCAACATCTGTTGAAATAAACAACCTCCTTTTGGCTTCCCCTTAAACGGTACCTGCTGACATGTCTTGGTCTCTGGGAAAAGAGAAACAGAAGGATTCGTACAGTGAGTAGAAATCACTCGAACCAAACTGACACGTGTGAAATGCAAATATCTGTTCAACCAAAGTGATCTAAAGGACACGTACCCCCCCCCCCCCCGCTGGGCTTCCCGAAAGGTGGTGCAAGGAATTACCTGCTCAGCCCGTGCTCAATGCACCCAACAAGTCACGCACACATCCCACTGTTTTGGTGGCTTTGGAAGGAGAACCCAAAGGAAAATCGAAAACCGCTGCCCCATTTTGTTTTCTTTTTTGGGGGGGGGGTCTGAAAAAAGGAAAGCACGGGAGCCGCCCATTTCTGGACGAACCACGCGACATGGCCCCCAGGGCTCTCGGCCGGCTGCTGCTCGATGACACGGTAGCGGAAGCGCATGGGCCCGTCTTCACAGGAGGTCCAATGCACCCACCTGGTCGGACGAGCAGCGGGCAGCTCTTCGTCCCTTGGATTTTCTGGAAACTTGGAGCCCAAAACGAGGGCAAAAACGGGATGGCTTCCATGTCAAACCAGAGAAACAAAAAAAAAGAAGGAAAAAAAGAGAAAACAAGAAACAGGGGCGCCAACTCCAAAAAACGGGGTGGGGGGGGGGGGGCAGCAGGGGCGCCAACTCCAAAAAGGACCCAAACTCAAGTGGTGGATCTGACATGTTGGCCATGAAACCCAAGACTTGGCTTTCCGTGGTTTCCACTACCCCGGGCCCCGTTTGGGTGAACACCAGCAGGTCCTGCAGAGGCGGGCGGGAATTGGGAAAAAATGGCAAGTGGTCAGATGAAATTATTTGGGAAGATATGTCTGGCCAAAGATCAAAACCAATTGGAAAAACCGAGTTGCCTCAAATAGGCTTATGTTGAGTGTGTATATATATATATTACAAGACAGACATGTCTGGCTGCGAAGTTGTTTCCCTGAAATTGGACTGAAGGGCATGGGAAAGGACTCCGGTTCATTTTGCGAACACATGTCTGGGGAAGTTTGTCCTATTGGACTGAGCTTCGGGCAATGGTTTGAACGAGCAAAAGGAGAGGTGCGGGTTTGTCTCTGAATTGGTTTGAGCCATCGGAAACGACTGAATGGGAAGAAAACCAACATGAAAGCATTGCTCTTTCGCGGGTTTCCCCTCATTGACCCCATGCGTCGTGTGGTCTGTTTTCAGAGTACCCAAAAGCCATGCTTTCCTTGAGCTTGATAGCGATGCAGATGCACACTCGGACCACAATCAAAACCGATCGGTATTGAAATGGTCTACCCAAAACCAAGTACAGAATCCAAGGGTGGACTATCTCCACCTATTTCTGCCTCGAACCGCCCCCAGCTCTCACCTTCTCTTGCCCGAATCAGCTTTGTTCGGGTGGCTACGTGGGCCCCATAACTGAGTTGTCAGCTTTTAGGCTAGCCCTTTTCGGGGTTACCTAGATAGCCAAGTTGCTGTTTTCTTCAGTCACTGTTGCTGGTTTTGGGGATAAAGTTTGTGGAAAAAAGGCAGCAACTGGCGATCCAGGTAGTTCCAAACCACTAGGAACTTTCCAGCGGCAAGTTGCAGCACCAACTAAGAACTCTGAGCGTAGCACGGGCCAAGCTTGCAGTCTTGAGCGTCTTCATGGCAGGCATGCGTCTGGCACAGGCGGGCCGCTGTCAACGTAGAAATATCGGTGTCCCCTAACATGGCAACGGTGTGTCTTTTTGGTTTCCCGTTCCGGCACTAACCAAAAGGAGGTCCACCATTTTGAGAAGCTGCCAGATGGTGTGTTCTTTCCCTGAGTGTCGGGACCCTTAAAGGGTGTGTTGGAAAGGGAGCTCCCCTCTTAAGGGGCTCCCCTTTTAAGGGAGAACGACGGGGGTGAAGGCAATATCTGGGCTCAACACACGCCGGGGCCGGCGTTGCACTCCACAGCTTCTTCCAGCCAGTCTTCACATGGCATGCCACCACCTGGCAAAGATTCCTCGCACGTCTCTACGCACCCCACCAAGCCATTGGTGGTCAAACACTTGGCTTATCCGACTGACCAGCAAATAGGCAAAAGATGCACGAGGCGGAGCTTGCCATGTGACAAACGCCGCCCTCACAAGCGAGAACCAGCCACACTCACAAGCGAGTAAGCGACCTCCTTAAAAGCACAAACTGCTTTGCAAGGGGATCCTCTGAATCTGCTGGCATTTGGGTATTTTGAAAATTGTCTCCGTATCCTTCAAGGGACCCCCAAAGAATAGTGATATATAGTGATTTTTGACTCACCAAAAGCACGAGACATATGGGTATGTGCAACACTTGGGGGCCTTTGGTTTTCCTTTTGGCTTCCTTTTTACCACAAAAAGGTTGTCCTCGCAAAAACACAATATGGGGAGGTCCCCTTTTAAAGGACGGGCACCGGGCACCAAAATCCAACACTGGGCAGGGACTCGATGCCATCGCCTCTGGCCGCGACCTCGATTTGTCGTGTCCTGCGCGGATCTTTTCTGTGCAATCTGTAGATACACATGAACCCCACCAAATACTGTCCGAGGGCCCCCTACACTCCCCCTTTAAACTTCACCCCCGCAAGGAGACGCCCTTTCCATTAGCCCAAGAGGCGATGTCTTAACCGGCCAAAAGGGGAAGTGGGCGCCCCTCCAAAACTGTGCGTCCTTCCTCGTGGTTCACCCCAACTGTTTGCCCCAATCCATGCGTTTCCAACATCTGTTGGGTTTGGGGTTGAGGCTTAGGGTTTAGGGCTCAGGAATAGGCCTTTAGGCTTAGGGGTGCTGGTTTGGGGTTGTTAGGGTTTAGGTTTGCGCGGTAATTAGGGTTTGGGTTTAGGGCTTTGGGGTTTTGGGGTGTTAGGTTTGGGGTCTTTGGGCATATGTTTAGGATTTGTAGGGCTTACTTTCCGTAGCCGAGCTTGCAAATGGGGCTACTCGAGTCGGAGCTTAGCCCTCCAATGCAGCAAAACATTGGCCCTGCACAGTAATTTGCATTTGCGGCCAGCAGCCAGAATAGGCAAGGGCAGCGAGGATGAGGAGGAAACAGAAGAGCAAGCACAGTCAGAACAGGCAAGGGTAGCGTGAATGCCGAGAAAACAGAAACCAGTCCTGAGGGGCGTTGGGGCAGATCACATGGATTGGCCGTTATACACTTGGGCGTGTTCTTGGGGGTGCCCCTTATTTGGCTAGTTCTAAAGGGAAACCAAACGGAACACCAGCATTTTGGGGGGTTCCCCGAAAATAAGACAAGCCACCCAAAGGTCGATGTCGCTTCCGACTCGACGGTTTCGCTGTCCTCGACTTCACGCCGCCATCGCAGCTCGCGGTGCAGATGGACCAGGATTCCCAGAAGCCCAACTGCGGCGAGGTCGAACAAAGCGACGAAGGTCGGACATGGAAGAAGAAACCCGTTGTTGAGGAACAAACAGGGAAACGTCCATATCGCAGTTTCAATTGACACAGGTAGGGAAAGCTTTTTCTGCATAGGAAACCAACTGTTTTGTTTGTGCTTTTGTCTCCAAACTGCGCCGAAAGGACAAATATCCGCCGACATTGTTCGGCGTGTCGGATATCTAAGAGAGGACTATTGGATACCCAAGAGAGGATAGAGGATAACCCCCTTAGTCCCCCCCCGGGACACGTCAAAAATACGCATGGTTTTTCGGTCGCCACCCCCCCCCTCCCCCGCGTACCGCGCGGCAATTTGATGACGTTCCACTAAACGTAGTCTTCGGGGGGCGGGTCTGGAGAAACGGGGGTCCCAGGCTCGAATCCTCCCGTCGCCTCTTTCTGCCGGCTGAGGTTTGGTGCTGCCTTTTGCGGAAAACTTTGAGACACACGGTGTTCGGTGTTTTTCCTTTGCTGACACCATTGAAAAAAACATTGTGTTTTCCGATTTCCTTGACAATTGGCACCAATTTCCCCCCAATTTCCCCTAATTTCCCCCAATGCTTCCCCGCAAATTGCGCCTTACTTTCTCACCAATTCCCTCCCACTTTCCTTTCAATTTCCATCCGACTTCCCCCCAATTTCCCCCCCAGTTTCCCCCAAACATCCTGGCAAATTCCCCAACCCCAGCTTCCTTCCAAGTGTCGCCCCCAATGTCCTTCGTGTCGGATACTTGGCCGACCGTGCGGCAGTTTCATGACGCTCCACTAAACAAAGTCTTCGCCCTTGCGACTTGCCACGACCCTTGCGATGCCCCTGCGGGAGCCTATGACGAGTCTTCAATCCCGGCTCCGAGTGTGCTCTGGAAAATCCTGTCCTGTTCACACCCTTGGGATCGTCCGTTCTTCTCAACATGATGGACCCCCCCTAAAATGGGGCCTAGTTTGCTTCTGGTCTTGCTCTTAAAACAGCCCCAAAACACCTGACTTCAAAGAAAGCCCGGATTAGAGGGTCGCAACCTAGGCAATGTCTGACAGCTTCTTTGGACAGGTCATGGTGGAATCTAATGGGATGCAACATCCCAGGTAGAGGGTCCAAGAGACGGCAGCCGCCTAAGCTGTGTTGAACAGAAACCGGCACTTGGTTAAATACCAGGCTTCTACCGGGGCCTTGTGGCCATGTATGCACGCATACATATCCGCCGACATTGCTCGGCGTGTCGGACACCTAAGAGAGGATAGAGGATAAGCCCCCCCTACCCCCCCCCACCCGACATCTGATACGTGGGAGGGGGGGGGCACGGGACAGAAATGAAAACAAGGGGAGTGCAGGGGGAATGAGAGGGAAACGAAGAACAAGGACACCAATCGGCACAACGGGAGATGTAGGGAAATGACTCGCAACGAAAGAACGGACCATACATGGAAAATGAAGCGGACGTACCGAGAACAATACATGGAAAATGAAGCGGACGTACCGAGAAAATGTCAGGGACCTGAAGGGGGAGTTGCAAGGCATGAAAGAGACATGACCAGGACATCATAGGAAACGTGAAAAGGACATGGAGGGGAAATCAACAAAAAAGCCAGTAGTGAGATGACAGTTCATGAAGGGGGGGGGACGTGACGCTGCAATGCAGGAGGGAGAGAGAGAGAGAGAGAGAGAGAGAGAGAGAGAGAGAGAGAGAGAGAGAGAGAGAGAGAGAGAGAGAGAGAGAGAGAGAGAGAGAGAGAGAGAGAGAGAGAGAGAGAGAGAGAGAGAGAGAGAGAGAGAGAGAGAGAGAGAGAGAGAGAGAGAGAGAGAGAGAGAGAGAGAGAGAGAGAGAGAGAGAGAGAGAGAGAGAGAGAGAGAGAAGAAAGAGAGAGCGAGACACAGAGAGTGAGACAGAGAGAGAGAGAGAGAGACAGAGACAGAGCCAGAGACAGAGCCAGAATCAGAGAAATAGAGAAAGAGACAGACAGAGAGAGGAGAGAGAGAGACAGAGAGAGAGAGAGAGAGACAGAAAGAGAGAGACTGAGAAAGAGAGACAC